TCTTATTAGAATTAGGAGCAAGCTTTGCGTCATTTTTCTCAAACTTGGTCTTACCCTTTCCTTTGAACTGGTTACCCTTTTTGGACCCACATTGAGTCAAAAAGGCAGTACTCTCGGTCGCCACTCGGCATTCACCTTTCAGTTCAACATGACGCGAGATGTCATGAAAGTTCTTAATCTGATCATTGTGTGTCATGATTTGTTTAAGGGCATTCCATGAATTTGGGAGGGACCTAATCGCAGCTTGGACTTGCTGTTCATCGGTAATGATACTCCAGCAACTTTCAAATCTCGTATCATGCCTGACATCTTCCTAAGATGTTCAAATACATAGTGCTTAGGATCCATCCTGTAAACCTCAAACTTTAACACTAGACTTCTCAGCCTAGTAGTTGAGGTTCCATCAAAAACAAATTTCAGCTGGTCCTATATCTCCTTGGCGGTCGAGTACCTTTCATACTCACCAATAAGATCATCATGCAAGCTGTTTAACATAGTAAAGTGCGCACTTCGATCTTTCTTGAACCAAGATTCATAAGACCTTACTCTAGTCGTATGCTGAGCTGCAGTGATTCCATCTCTCTCAAGATCAGGCTCATCCACTGAGGCGTCCAAAGGCTCCAAGAGCTTTTGTTCATTGAGAAGATATTGGATCTTCATATGTCAAATATCATAGTTGGTTCCAAGCAGCTTTTCTCTTTTGGTCAAATCAGCAACAACATTTTTGGCAGCCATTTCTTTCGACAAGGGTGAAATAATTTTGACATTATTAATTACACATCTTACATTTATTTATTTCAAAAACTCATTAGAAAATATTTCACTTTTTCTCCTAGGTTGAAATTGAAAAATCCGCTAAGTTGCTCGTAATTACCATTCAATTCTAAGAGTCAAGATCATATTTTCTAATTATTTTCGAAATAAATCTAATTTAAACATTATTATGTGTTAAGCTTATCCATTTTTCATGCAACATCCAATTGAGTGCACAACAATTAGGGTTTTTAGACAATAGGCTCGACATGTGGGCCTCTGTAAGTGCGGCCAGGTCAAATCCGGGAGGGGTGGCATCGTGAAGCTTTTAAAAACCGAACCTCTTTGACACCCAAAGTGTCTCCTTAAAGATTTTTCCTAGACACCACATCAAATAAGAGGTGACCATTAGTGAACCCCAGTCTAATTTCATTATTTTTTTATTAATTAGGTAATCTTTTTTAAATGTTATCCTAAAGAACATTCCTTTCTAATTTAAAATGCTCAATCAACATGAGCAAATTTGATCGACATTATCTCTTTTTGATTTTCCTAAAATCTTGGCATGTGTTGGATATTTTTTAAAGGTTAATTAAGAACGTTTCCTTAATTTTAGTAAATTAAAAACGTCTGCAATACCAAACCTAAACATACACTTACGTAGGTCAGTGAACCACAATGATTCACTCACCAGTCGTGTCCCAAAAACACGGCCCACGCACCGCCCAAAGCGGCGGTGCAAAATTTTATTTATTTTTAATAATTAATTTAATATTGCGCGAACCCACTCGCCGTGGGTTGTGTGTGACACACATAGGCCGCCTTTTGGCGGTTTGATGCCGTTCTTTTGACCTCCGTTGGATTAAACTCCCTGAGATGAATCCAACGGTGTAGCTAACATCCACGAAAGCCTAGCGATGTCCTCGTACTTGCTTAGGTCGAGAGTGGAAGAGATGAACCACTGTTCATCATCTTCTTCCAAAAAAAATGGAATTTCCATATTTTTTACTCTCATAAGGCCTATTTATAGAGGCCATAACTTAGCAAATATACATCCGTTTTATGTGTATTGTATGTCGTTAGAAAGATCATATTACCATCTACAATTAAGTCTTCTTTGGTGAAATCCAAAAACAACTCTAACCTCATGAAAAAAGAGTTGAATATCAGAGTGCGGAACAAACAAAACTACAAAATAATAGGAATTTTATTGAACAAATTGAGAATGCCGAGACGGCTACAAAAACCCTAGAGACTACATTGTGACTGACTTATTCTCAAACTAAATTACAAGCTCTATTTATAGAGCAATAAACCTAAGAAACCCTAATGCTTAAATGCCAAAAATACCCTACTACAAAATCAAATCAAATCTTAATTAATTTCCTAAATAAACCTAATAAATTCCAACAAAAAGGGTTGCAAAAAACTTTAAAAAAATTCGTTTTTCATGCTAGGAAACTAGGGTTTCAATTATCTCTCTAACCACTTGGTTTTTCTTTACCAAATTTTAAACATAGTCTCATATTAATGTAAAGAATATAACCTAAGCGTTAAAACCCAGAAAAAAAAAAGCATGGTAAAAACGAAAATTTTAAAGACAAGCATATATATATATATATATATGCTTTCATGCGAGGAGTGTGTGAGTGGCTTTGATACCACTGTTGGAAGACTATAAATAAATTCAAAAGGACATGTGTACTTTTTATGCAGAAGCTTGAATCTCAACACGCTCCTACAAACACGAACAACTACTCTGACCCTCCATGCACGTCTAGGACCTCGCAAGTCATCGGGTTGGCTACGGTATGTCGAGTTGCCCCTTGATTTTCGCCTCCTAAGACCTAGAGCTGAAAGTGATGGCTCTAAAGACCTAACTAGAATATTTAAACTGTGGAAAAGCTTGTGTTTCTTATATATTCTCTCTTCCCCAAAGCCTCCTTATATAGTGGTTGGGAAGAGTGTACCAAGACTAAAAAGCCCATGAAAATCCCAAGTATATTCTAATTAGGAGGGTAATATCCTCATGTGGGTGGAATATCCTTTGATATTTATTTATCCCATAAGATAAATCCTACATCACCATAATTGTAAAAAATTTAATGTGTAAGTTGGAACTCATGTATACACTATCGAAACTGCATGAGTTGAGACTTTAATCTAATCATCTTGCTAGTATATATCGCAGACCTAAACCATAACCCAAAACCTTAACATGAAATTTGAAACAACTATGTTTTAAACTCAAACAAAAGGTTCATTCTTTTATAAATCCTAAACCTGAATTGTAAGTTGAAAACAACATTATTTTATTTGCAAAAAGATCTTGCATGTTCTTATAAAAAAATACCTTCTTGTCGACGAAGTCAGCCCAGAACCTGGCTTTGGCTCTAAGGTAAGAGTCAGAAGGCAACAGAGGAGCTTTATCCTTGCAAACCTCATCAATGTACTGAAGTGCAACCAAGGACTCGTAGACCGGTTTTCCATTGTGAACGATAACCGGGATCTTCTTGTGAATCGGGTTCATCTGCAGCAACAGTGGGCTTTTGTTCCACAAGTCCTCATCTTTATGCTTGTACTCAATGCCCTTCTCAGGCAGTGCAATCCTCAGCCTCATCGCAAATGGGCTTGCCCAGAAATCCAACAACACCACCTCATCCGCCATAGAAGGTTGATCAGATTTAACAAAGTTTCAAAGGATACAAAAAGCTGACTGTGACTGAGCAGTGGTGGTAGAAGCAGACTAACAGATTGTGTATTTATAGACAAAAATTCAAAGGAGAAAAAGGAGTCTTAAGACCTCCGGACATGGAGAGATTCTACTTCTCTTCCTTTCTTGTACATATATATTCGAGATTTTCTAACTGGATAACGATTATGTCACTGCTTTCGGCATCAAATCCTTCATTTTCTTTGTTAATGTATGTTGATTTGTAATAATTTATATAACACGTATTTTTCTAGTCGGACTATAGCATTTGAATCTATTTCTTTATAGTAATTCTATTTTCTTGGTGGGAAAGATATCAATTTTTGGTAGACAAACTTGAACAAGCAGGGTAGTTTTGTGTCAGGACCCACCTCGAGCTCATACTTTAATTCTTTTGAGTTATTTTACTTAAGGTAATCATAAGGAGATTAAATTTGTAGACAAAATTTGCAAACTGAATGATATGTCACCAATAGGAAATAAACATATTTCTCAAGGCTTAAGTAATAATTCAATCATCAACTTTCATGTTATGTGGTTTACAAATTTTATCTACAAATTTAGTCTCTCTAGCATTACTCTTTTACTCATAACTTGGCATAGGTTTTTTATAAAGTAATGCTAGAAAAACTGTATATTTATATTTTATTGATGAAATCACACTCCTAAACCATATTAACCAATCAACGGATAGGTCTCTGGCCCATTAAAGGCCAATGATAACAATCACATCATAATAATAACAAAAGTTTTTACAATTAATAGCACGAGAAAGTCAAGTTCGGTAAGGAGCTTCGACATGGAGCAGATTTGACCACGACCATAAGTATAAATTTATCGCGCATATGGGTTACTGTCACTCTTGACCACTTTTATAGTAATAAGGTTGGGTTTGGGAGTGAGGTGCTTAAAAAAAAAGCACATATGAAAAAAAACTGTGAAGGTTTTAGGTGTTTGGTAAACTGAAAAAAAAAAGCTTATTTTGGAAGCTGCTGTGAGAATAAGCTGAAATCAAAAGAAAAAGCTGAAGCTACTATTTGCAGCTTTAGAAAACTGGCTTTTTTTCAAAGCACACAGAGCTACAGTGCTCCTTTAATGAAAAGACTCACTATCAGACTACTTTTTTTTCCAAAAGCACTTTTACAAAAAAGTTTACCAAACACTCTGCTGATTTATTTCACAGCCACTTATTCTCACAGCACAACCGCTTATTCTCACAACAGCTTTTTTTCAAAGCACAGCAATACCAAACCAGCCCTAAGTCTCACTCGTGGACGTATTGGCCAATATAACTTATGGGGTTACCATTACTAGCTTTTATTTAGTGGTTTTGTTAGAGGCTAGATCCAATTATGATCTCAAAAGATAACAGGGTAATTAGCCACAATAGACATGTTTTGAAATTTGATTGCACTTTTGATTACACTTTTTAAAAATTGTTCTTTTGATCAATTTTACTTGTGAAAAGTCCATATTGCCCTTTGTTAATCTTTATATTGGTCAACATGTCCTTCATTGATCAAATCCATTTTCAGACTCATTCTTTGGTTGCTCCGTCTTGACTAATCAAATTTGGAGCAGTGAAAAATATCTTGAACACCATGAAGGAGGTAAGCTTCTTATTGCTCCACCTCCCAAATCCATTCTTCTTCTTCCTCTCTCTCTTTCATCTTGCTTTGGCTCAATTATTCCATTTTTTGGATTTGAAATTAGGTTGTGGTGGTTGGGAATAAAGAAGGATAGGGTTTCTTGAATAAAGTGTTGCGGCTGAGGTGGTTCAAAATCAGTGGGTGTATCATTGGGGCATCATCATATTGTTGTTGTGATTGTGTTGGTCCAAAATCATAAAAGGGGGAGTATCGTTGGAGTGTCGTTGTGGCGTCATCAAACTGTTATTGTAGTTGTGTTGGTTCAAATCATGAAGTCGGGAGTATCGTTGGAATGTTGTTGGAGTGTTGTTGTGGCGTCATCAGATTGTTGTTAAATTGGTGGTTTAAAATCCTAAGAATTTTAGTTTTAAGTCCTTTTTTGTTAAATGGAGTTATTTGAAAATGGGTTTTTGGTTGTTTTTAAAACCATTGGAGTGTAATTGTGGCACCATTAAGGGTATTGTTGTCTAGTGGTGATTCAACATCGAAAGGGGAGGGGGGGTGTCGTTCGGTGTTGTTAGGGCATTGCTGTATTTAAACCTCGAGAAGGATTGGTCAAGTGCCTTTTTATTCTAATTCAACAACCCAAAACAGGTTGAATCTGTAAGAATCCTTATTGGACTCAACTAGTTGTGATAAAGATGAGTCAGGATGTTTTAATTATAAATCAGTATGAGTTTTGTATACATGTAAAACCATTCCCTATAATTGAGGAGTTACTCCATAGTGTTTCAAACTAAAGCACGTACTTAATCCCACTCATCCACGACTCATCCACGATTGGGACTGAAAGCAATAGGGTATGTAACTAACTCCCACGATAGATGGAAGTTGTGTAAACCTTGCTTTATATATTGGATTCCCTGCGCACAAAGAAAAACACTCTTCGCTTTTGGGACTATCACCATAAGAGTATACTGGTCTCCCAGTAGTAGAAGAATCTTCTTGAATCACTACCACGTCTACTGCAGGTTAGAAACTGAGATATAATTGTCAAAATGGTGTTCTAGGATTTCCTGTTAGTCTAAAGTATATATCTTAATACATTCCAACAGAATCTTGAAAGACAAAACAACCACACGACCTAACAAGTTGGAATGACACTGATCATCAATAGCTTCTTGCCAGGCTGCCACCAAAATCTACTCAATTCCAAGCTTTTTCCTAAAAAGCATGACGAAATCGTAGACCTTTTCCTTCTCGGGGAGCGACTTTGACACGCTCTCCTTCTCCAAGCACCTTTTAGCCCAGACAATAAACTTTGGGTGCTCTGCCTCAACACTGAAGTTGCCAAGTTTTTCATACACAAAAAACCGACTATAATGGAATCAGCGCCACGTCCACGAATCCGAGGGTCTCCCCCCCAAAGAAGGGCTTGCCTCCGAGCTCTCATTCTAGCACGCCGAGGCAGCCGAGAAATCATTTTTTTGCTGCATCCTGCGTAAAGCGGGAGCCTTGTGCACTGGGTACGACATCCTGTTCTTCTCATTTGGTTGTCCACAGCTTCTTCCCAATATCATACATCTGCATTTCACATCCCTTAAATTTCAGGGAAATTAATATACATTGTTTTGAGCCGAGACATTGACCTCTCCCAGACCCTGCGTAAAGCGGGAGCCTTGTGCACTGGGTAAGACATCCTGTTCTATAGAAAACCTTAATGTATATTGTTTGTACCATACTTGACCAATCCCGAAACTACTGAGCACCGGTCAACGTTATACCATCAAGAACCCAGAAGAGTTTCCCTTCAACCAGGAGGCCAATCACAATGCGACACGTGTCGACATCAGAAGCCAATCACAGCGCGACACGTGTCAACATCAGAGGCCAATCACAACACGACACGTGTCAATATTAGAACAAAACTAGAAACTCTCTTCTATAAATAGGGATCATTCTCCCACAATAATCTCTAATGTCATTTTGTACTAAACTATTCACTAGAACTCACTAAACCAGAGCTTGAACCTATGTATTTGTGTAAACCCTTCACAATTAATGAGAACTCCTTTACTCCGTGGACGTAGCCAATCTGGGTGAACCACGTACATCCTGTGGTTGCTTCTCTGTCTCTATTCATTTACGTACTTATCCTCACTAGTGACCGAAGCAACCAAGCGAAGGTCACAAAACCTGACACTTTCTGTTGTACCAAAGTCCTCGCTGATTTTGTGCATCAACATTTGGCGCCGTCTGTAGGAAACACACTTATTCCTACTCTCTACAGCTCTGTCAAGCTGGTTTCCACCATTCGTACACTTTCTTTTGGCCAAGCATCTCTCTCCGACATGGGGAGCGAAAGAAGCCACATCACACAGAATGACACCCCCGCTGGACCTAGTATGAAGCAACGAAAGCAGGAAGGAAATAGAGTTACTCTTCAAGCTAAAGTCGATGAGCTGGAGGTTCAGAACAACAATATAGCAATGAAGAATGAAGTCCTCCAGGAACAATATGAAAAACTTTTCGAGATGCTTCACGAGGCTAGGCAGGCTCAAACACATAAGCTCGTCGCCCCTGTTGAGGTTAACAATCAACTGAATGCCCCCCAACACGGAGGGTCGCCGATATCCGACACGGACATCCCTGATAGGGATCGAGCTACACATCAATGTGATAATCAACATGAGACTTCTCTCAACCCAGCTGATTCAACCCAAAGCAGGAGAAGTAGAGGAAAACACCTCCTCACAGAGGGAGTGGAAGGATCAAAAGCTGTCTATCGCGATTGTCGAGACTTCCTAAAGCAACGTCGAGAGAATCCCATCCACATAAGCTCGAAGATCCATGACCCAAGGGTTTCTGAAAGACTCGGTCCTCTTCCACGACCCAGGCCAGCCGCCAATCTAGAGAATGGGCAACAAGTCCCAGAAGAATACGAAGGTACTGGGGACTCGGAAACATTCCAACATACTCACTCTAGAAGTCAGTGTGGCGAGTCCAAAGAAAGATCACGCTATCTTGATCAAACTTTCCTACTTCCAAGAGGCGATGGGGGCTTAAAGAAGAAAACTTCGGTGGTGCACGACTCCGCTCAGGACCCCCTTGTCATGCAGCTCCTTGAGGAAGTAAACAAGCTGAAGGCTGAACGTCAAGCCGAGATACCTGATTGGAACCAACCCAGGCCTGGCCCTCTCACAAGAAGGATCCTCAACACTCCCCTCCAAGCGAAGACAAAGCAGAAGCTTGACTTACAGCTCTATACTGGAAAGGAAGACCCGATTGAACACCTTAACCTCTTTGAGTCCACCATGGTATACCGGGGACACACCGACGAAGAACGGTGCCTTCTCTTCCCCTCCACCCTCTCTGGCGGAGCTTTAAACTGGTATTGTCGTCTTCCACCTGAGATAGTAGACTCATTTGAAGAGTTGAGGAAGCTGTTTGTCTCTCAACACATCTTCCAAACCGATCGCTTGCATTCCGCAGATGACTTGTACACTATTCGCCAGAAGCCGGACGAGTCATTACGAAAGTACGTTGGCCGCTTCAGCCATGAGTATTCTCGCTGCGCTGAGGCAGATGACAAGACCACCCTCAAGGCTTTCACGGCAGGCTTATGTGACTGTTTCTTCAAGTACATGATCAATGCCAACACTTGGAAGACTTACTCTGAGGTGATGACACAAGCTTACAACCATGCCTCCGCCGAGGCAAGGACATATCAAGGGAAACCCCCTACAGTCACCCCTTATCAGCAAGTAGGGAGTGGAGGCCAGATCCAACCGAATGAAAAGACCTCAACCTTCCAAATGGTAGCAGCACACCACCTGCCTCATTTAATGCTTCGCCAAGTCAGCAGACATATCAATCTCAGGGCAAAAGGAAAGACTTCCATCCTCACCAATCTCATTTTAATAAAAAGAATAAGGGGCACTATCGCGATAACTCAGGATATCGTCACAATAATGCCCGCCCCCAGGCAGTCAACGCAGTGGGCCAATCACGTGTCAAGACAGGCCCTACCCCGAGGTATGAGACATACACCTCTTTGAATGCTACATGTGTTGCCATCTACCCTAGTATAGCTCACCTGATACCAAAGCCAAAGCCAAGACAGCCAGATTACAAGTCCATGAAGAACACGGGAATGTTTTGCTGCTACCACGGGTATAATGGCCATGATAGTGAAAAGTGCATTATCCTCCGTGACCATATTGAAGCTCTGGCACGTGAAGGAAAAATTGATCAGTTTCTCCTTCACCCTCTAAGGGATAACCGTAACCAACGCCAGGTGAATGTGATATATTCCATAAGCGGCGGCACACCCATGTCTGAATCTTCCAATAGGGCCATGAAAAGCAGTGAACGAACTTTGAGACCTGGCCATCAAGTGTTTCACGTGGAAGACATCAGAGGAGGCAAGTATCAAAAGCCTAACTGGGATCCAATATGTTTCTACCCTGAGGAAGAAAGAGGTGTCATCTACCCTCACAATGACCCGCTGATCGTGGAAGCTCACATAGCAAATTTTGATGTGAAACGAATCCTGATAGACACAGGTGCTTCAGTCAATATCATGTTTGCTGAAGCTTTCAAGGCACTTAATGTAGCGGAACACTTGCTCGATCGCTCGATTTCTCCTCTGATAAGCTTCTCTGGCAATATCGTGCAACCTTTAGGGAGTATACACTTACCCTTCACCATTGGTACAGGCCCCTACACAGCTACTATTACCACTAACTTCCTAGTGGTCAACTGCCCGACGGCATACAATGTCATCTTTGGGCGCACAGGCATCAATGATCTCAAGGCCATGGTATCCACACATATGTTGTTGATGAAGTTTCCAACCCTTTTCGGCAATGGGTACATCAGGGGAGATCAACTTAGTGCTCGATCATGTTACAACACTTCAGTCAAACAACAACACCTGTCTGTCCCCAAGGAGACTCTCTCTATACATAACCAAGTCGTAAAGACCAGTCTAGATGAATCCAACTCGGGTCTTCAGGATGGCAACAGTCAACCCGACGACCCTCGAGATGACTCATTCACCCAGCAAGCACAACCCGCTGAAGAGTTAGAGAAGGTCTCTATCTCCAAAGACCATCCAGACCGCATGGTGAAGATTGGCACTACTTTGTCACCACCCATTCGGTTGTCACTGATCTCATTTTTGCAAGAGAACGCTGAGGTTTTCGCTTGGTCATATAAAGATATGCCGGGCAACTCTCCCGATATCATTTGTCACCACTTGAGTATTGATCCCAAGACCAAACCAGTAAAACAGAAGCGAAGATCTTATGATGTTGAACGATACAAGGCGATGAAAGCAAAAGTTGAAAAACTCAAGGACATAGGCTTCGTCTGTGAAGTCAATTACCCAACATGGGTAGCAAATGTTGTCCTTGTTAAGAAAAATCCGACCAAGGAAAGTCTCCTGCTTCAAAAGGTCTTGTGGAGAATATGTGTCGACTACACCGACCTAAACAAAGGATGCCCGAAGGATAATTTCCCCCTTCCTCTCATTGATAGACTTATAGACTCTACGGCAGGGTGTGAGCTCTTGAGCTTCATGGACGCTTATTTAGGATACAACCAAATCCTCATGAACCCCTCAGACCAACACACAACCTTCACTACTGACAGGGGACTATATTGCTACAAAGTCATGCCTTTCGGCCTAAAGAATGCAGGAGCAACTTATCAGAGACTAGTCAATTCAATGTTCGCCGAACAGATTGGGAAGAACATGGAAGTTTACGTTGATGATATGTTAGTCAAGAGCAAACATGCTGACCAACACATCATCAACCTATCTGAAACTTTCACCATTCTAAAGAGGTATCGAATGAGGTTGAACCCCAACAAATGTGCCTTCGGTGTGGGCTCTGGCAAATTCTTAGGCTTCATGATTAGCCAACGAGGCATTGAAGCTAACCCCGAAAAGATCAAAGCAATCCTCGACATGAAAGAGCCAGTAACTTCAAAAGACATCCAAAGCTTTACTGGCAAAGTGGCAGCCTTAACCAGATTCATCTCTAAGGCCACAGACAAATGTGCTCATTTCTTTAAAGCACTCAAGGGAAATAAGAAGTACATTACATGGACGGAGGAATGTGCCAAGGCATTCAGGAACCTCAAAGAGTACATGAGTAAAGCCCCTCTGCTCTCCAAACTAGAAGTTGGTGACACTCTCATTATCTATCTATCGGTTTCGGCTTCAGCAGTTAGTTCTGTTCTTATTCGAAAGGACAGTGGGGTCGAAAGGCCTATTTACTACGCTAGCAAGGCCCTACAAGATGCGGAGACATGATACTCCAACATTGAGAAATTAGCTTTAGCATTGGTCATGTCTGCTCGAAAACTTCGCCCTTATTTCCAAGCACACGCCATTATCGTGCTTACCAATCACCCTCTTCGACAGATACTCCAGAGTCCTGACACGTCTGGGTGAATGATCAAATGGGCGATATCATTGGGTGAGTTTGACATCTCCTACCAACCAAAACCAGCCGAAAAAGGTCAGGCTGTAGCAGATTTCATAGCCGACTTCACACATCCTGTTGACATTGCTTCTACACCTGAAGCAATAGCTTCATTACCATCGGAAGCTCAGAAGATAGAATCAACAACCCCAGCATGGAGTCTGTATGTTGATGGCTCATCCAACCAACAGGGCTGCGGAGCAGGATTAGTCCTCACTACCCCCGACAAAGTGGTGATGGAATATGTTATTCGTTTCAAATTCAAGGCATCGAACAATGAGGCCGAATACGAAGCCCTTCTAGCAGGCTTACGTTTGGCCAAGCACCTCGGGGTTAAACGAATTGATAACTTCAGTGACTCCCAATTAGTGGTCAACCAAGTCACGAACAACTTTGATGCTAAGGATAGCTCCATGGCAGCATATCTTGCGCAAACGCGACTTTTGCTCAAGCACTTCCACTACCAAATCACCCAAGTTCCTCGAGCGGCAAACAGTCATGCAGACGTTTTGGCTCGCCTCGCCTCGGCAGTGGAAGACAAGATTGGGAGAAAAATTCATGTCGAATTGTTGGCAGCACCAAGCACCATGGTCATGGAAGTGTGCAATTTACAGCAAGGAGATAATTGGATCACCCCAATTTATAAATTCCTTGCTCATGGCAGCCTCCCAATTGACAAAGTCCAAGCTAAGCAGATTCGATACAAGTCTGCCCGATACCTGATCATTAATGACCAACTCTACAAGTACAGTTTTACCCTGCCATACCTAAGATGCCTTACACCTGCGGAGGCGGAAATTATCCTTCGGGAAATACATGAAGGAGTCTGCGGAGATCATGCTGGGTCTCGATCCCTAGCACACAAGACTTTTCGCCAAGGATACTATTGGCCAACACTCCACCAGGATGCCATCAGAATATCACGCTCATGTGATAAGTGTCAACGCTACGCAACTATCCCTCACTCCCCTCCCGAGCCGCTCACTCCTATGATCAGCCCTTGGCCCTTTGCCCAATGGGGACTTGATTTGATAGGCCCAATGCCTGCAGGGAAAGGCAAGGTCCGCTATGCAATCGTTGCAGTTGACTACTTCACAAAGTGGGCTGAAGTAGAACCCTTGGCAACCATTACTAAGGGAAAAATAGAAGACTTCGTATGGAAGAACATCCTCTGCAGATTCGGCATTCCCAATGCGATAGTCACGGACAATGGGCGGCAGTTCGACAACAAGAAGTTCAAGATGTTCTGCTCTAAGTTCAACATCAACTTATGTTTTGCCTCTCCAGCCCATCCTCAATCTAACGGACAAGTCGAGGCCGTTAACAAAATAATCAAGCGCACTCTGAAAACTAGCTTGGACAAAGCTAAAGGTTGTTGGCCAAAATTCGTACCCCAAGTTCTTTGGTCATATCGCACTTCATATCGGACTTCCACAGGAGAAACTCCATTCTCACTTGCTTTTGGTACAGAAGCAGTTATCCCGATTGAGCTTAAGCAAGCAACATACCGAATCCAGAACTACATACAGAGTGAGAACGACAAGCAACTCACCCTCAACCTGGATCTAGTCGAGGAACACAGAAATCAGGCTCACCTGAGGAATGTCGCCTACAAGCAGCGCATCTCCAACTACTACGACTCAAGGGTCAAACCTCGCTCTTTTAAAGTGGGAGACTGGGTACTGAAGAAAAGATTACTCTGTGATAGAGTCCCGAGTGAAGGAACACTCAGTCCTAACTGGGACGGACCGTTCGAGGTCGTCGGCATTAGCCGCCCTGGCTCCTACAAGCTCAGAAGCTCAGACGGCAAGACCTTTGGCCATCCATGGAATGCTGACCACTTGAAGTACTATTACAAATAGACTCACATTGTATAAGTGTTAAGCTACAGCCGTTCGGCATCCTATGTAACAAAGACCATTTGGTATGAATTCAATAAAGAGGTGATTTAGCCAACTCAGCCCTAAACTCTTTTACATTCTGAGCAATGAAACACTCAAGTGTTGAAGCTTCAACGCACATGTTTCCAATACAAAATAAAATCTAGGTATATGTCAACAAGACTATACAAAGGATCTATGCAAACATAGCCAAACATTCATCAATGATAGGGCAAACAATTGAAGCTTGATAATACAAACACTTGCTTGATAATGCAAACACTCATAAACATACAAAAAAAAAAAAAAAAAACCCCTCGAGCTTATAACATGGCATATGCCATACAAACAACAAACTAGTGCAGGCAGAGTACATGCAGAAAGTGAAAGCATTTCTAGTCATCCTCCTCTGAGGTTGAACCCCTGATCATATCACTCTGAGTCCTACCGCCATTTTCTGCATCTCCAACCTTATCATCACCCTGATGACTCTGCTCATCAGCACTAGCATCATCGCCAGACTCATCTGCACTGCTCGAATAAACTGCAAGGTCGAAGGTTTCACCTTTTCGATGATGCTCATCTATTTCTTCACGGTATTTTCGAAGAACACTTCCATCATCATAACGATCAAGGACAGCCATCCACTTTCTTTTTTCAAAGTGCACTTCCCGGGTACAGCGAGGTATAAGGACATGGAGAAAGGCTTGGGAACCCAAGAACTCATTCACAGCAGCTTCCTTCTCAGCCGGGATACTACTCTTCAGCTCAGAAACCTCAACCAAGGCACTATCCAACTCCCCTTTAACCTTGGAAACCTCGAGCATAGTTGTCTCCAACTGTTTCTTAGTCGCTTCCAACTGTACCTTGAGTCTCAAGTTCTCACTATTCCGCCTCTTCAAACTTTCAAAATGTTGATCCTTGACTTGGATGGCCTCAGCTAAAGCTTTGCTCGTCTTCCTGGCATCATTCACAAGCTGCTTATTCTCTTCCAATTTCACCTTGCACCGTTCAGCCTCTCGCAGTCTGTCGTGATACTCAACCATGACCTGCATGACAAGACGATCATCACTACTAAAATAATGCTAATAAAGAGGAGAAAACAAGGGAATGACAAAGTAACACTCACATATGAAGACAGTTTCAACATCCGGTCGCAATCCGATTCATCTTTAGCTAAGGGTTCTCTGAGCTCATCGAACCTGCCAGGCAATTGTTGATATACCCAAAGTCCTTTGGCCGCATGGCAACCTTCAAATCCTTCTAAGGGACACTGTCAACCTCTTCCTTATCTTTACCCTTGCTGCTAGAACTAGGATCACCTTCCTGCCCAATGTGTTCCCTAACTGGAGGAAAGATGGGATTAATAGTAGGAAGAGGAGGCAGCAATCGCCTATCTTCCCCGGCAACTATGGCAGCAGCACATCCAATGGCCTCAGCTTCAGCTTTCTTCGAGGTAGCAACCTTGATGACTTCTTCTCGAGACTTAGTTTTAATAATTGGTCTCACTCAATGCTTGCGAGCTTCCTTGTGAAACAGGATGTCTTCTGAAGGAACTAACATGGGAACTCTCCGTTTCTTGGTGCTAGTCTCCACTTTCTTGCCCACCTTCTCCACTGAACAAGGAAAATCAAAGTAAGGAATACCATATTATATATCTATAAAAAAAAAAGGGAAGAACAAGGATCAAGTGAGGATACAACTTACTCGCTCGTCTCTGGCACTCGGAAACTAAGGGCTGGAAACCGTACTTTCGAAACAAGGGACGTAGCTTACCCAAGTATCTATCTTCTTTAGGCACCCTCAGCACTTTCTCTACATCAGCTAGCTCCTGTCCGGAGAGTTTGATGGTGCCTCGTGTCACTGCATGAAGAAAAATCTTAGAAGCAAGAGAAAATCACAACAATAGCAAATAATGAGAAAATGGATACATTACAACCTACAGTTTGGAAGTGAGTAGGAACACGTCGCTCAGGCGTGACACCCTTAGCATGCTCCCAATCATTATAAAGAAAGCACCAACGTTTCTTCCATGTGCAGTACGACTTTCTCTTATTACAGACAACACGCTCTCTCTCGCTCCGACATGCACATTCAGCATAACCAGTACATGCTTTCACCGGGCGCATCTTATAACAGTAGCGCCATTGATGGAAGGAAGGCTCACCTAATCCACACTCCATTCAAATAATATAAAACCCGATCAAGGTATCCCAGAAACCAGGGTTGAGTTGCCCAGGTGCATAACCAATAAAAGCCAGCATTCGTTGCAACCACGGATGCAAAGGTAAATTTACCCCCAAGGTCACTAATGTCTCGGTAGAACATAACATGACCCTTGGGCGGCTCCGAAGGCAATTCTTCACAACGCACCAAACGTATTCCTACACTACGGGGGATACTACATGATTGCCTTAGGGCCTCAAGCTGCTTTTCGCTATCTAACAAGTTATTTTCTAAATGGTCCGCTGTGAACTCAGAGCGAAATATGGGTATGGCATCACAAACAACCCCCTCACCCACTCGTATGGAGGAAGAACCAATCTCGGCTAAGGTTTGACAATTGTGAGGATCAGAACGACATATGGGTATGGCGTCACAAACAACCCCCTCACCCACTAACATGGAGGAAGAACCAATATTGGCTAAGGTTTGACAATTGTGAGGATCATCCAACGTTTCTTTTGTACAAGACTCTAACAAAGGCCATGAAGACCCCGACATTGCAGGCTCAAACCTAGAGCCCGAGCTAGGGGAGCCCTCATCACTAAGACTTCCAGACTCCGACATCTACAACAAACAGAAACAAACTCTATTACTACATGAAGGATCAAAACATAAGGAAGCTCACAGGGCATGAAGAACAGCTCAACCAGTTCATTATGTTCGTCACAAAATACATGAACATTCCAACAATTCAACAAAAAGGAAAACATCCAATGTAGTGGAGAAGACTACCAACCTGAAGATGGTGCAGCAAAGCAATGCTAGAATCCCTCTCAAGTAAAAAGCACTATGTCTTCAAAAATCACTACAAGATGAGCAAATGAAGGTAAGGTAAAGAATGGAAACTTATCCTTTTTATATATAGTTCAACATGGCTATTAACATTCAAAATTCAAATTCAAACCATGAGAAAGCCCCACATGGAGAATCTTCAAACTTCTAACATTAAGGAGTTTCAAATTTCAAATGTTTCAGTTCCCCCCCTCCAACAAAAAAAAAAAAAAAAACCGAAAAAAAAACAAAAACAAAAAAAAACAAACAAAAAATCCGAAAAAAGGGGAAGGGGGAACACAGCAGCTTCATCAATGGGATTCAACTCCCAATCTCAAAAGCTTCGCACTATGTTCATCAAGATAGTGCGAAGCACAATCAATTTATGGTGCCAACAAAAGCTTCATCAATGGAGGACAAATATCAATCTCAAAGGCTTCGCACTATGTTCATCAAGATAGTGCGAAGCATAATCAATTTATGGTGCCAACAAAAGCTTCATCAATGGAGGACAAATATCAATCTCAAAGGCTTCGCACTATGTTCATCAAGATAGTGCGAAACACAATCAATTTATGGTGTCAACACCAAAGCTTCACCTATAAAGCTTCACCACCAAAGCTTCACCTATAAAGCTTCACCACCAAAGCTTCACCTATAAAGCTTCAACACCAAAGCTTCACCTATAAAGCTTCACCACCAAAGCTTCACCTCTAAAGCTTCACCTATAAAGCTTCAACACCAAAGCTTCACCTATAAAGCTTCACCACCAAAGCTTCACCTCTAAAGCTTCAACACCAAAGCTTCACCTATAAAGCTTCACCACCAAAGCTTCACCTCTAAAGCTTCAACCCCAAAGCTTCACCTATAAAGCTTCACATATCAAGCTTCAACCCCAAAGCTTCACCTATAAAGCTTCAACACCAAAGCTTCACCTATAAAGCTTCACATATCAAGCTTCAACCCCAATGCTTCACCTACAATACAAAATTTCAACACCAAAACATATAAAAGCTTCGCACACTCTTCATCAAGATAGTGCGAAGCTAATTCAAGTTTTGTATCCTAAAAATAGCTTCAACTAGTCACGCTATATACCCAAGCAAAAATCTATAGTCAATAAACCTTACCTATTAAACTATTTCCCAAACACAAAACCTTGTGACAAATAAACAAATTTTGTTCACAAAACCAAGATTCCCTTGAACTTGTACAAAAACATAGGTCAACACAAACATTTGTTTTGTTCTACACCCACAACATCCCTGTCATAAACAAACAAGAAATTATGTATATGTTTCCAAACATATTATAATAAATCAAACAACAAACCAAAATCCCAAGTTTAACTAGAAATCCAACCCAAGCAACTTCTTTCCCTGTCTTCCTCTTCCGCCTCCTTTCATCTATCAAATTTCTGCAACCTTTGCTCTTCTCCAGTTGAGCTGAATTTTGGACACCCTATAGTTCTTGCGCAGATGAACAATTTTCAAGAAGGAATCGTTTCTGTTTGAGCGACGGAAATTAAAGTGTTGAGGCTCCAAACATGACAGTCGGATTCCCGCACATTTCGAAGACTGCTGTGATGTTTCGAAGATCTGGAAATATTTAACCGTTAGTTCCTTCTGAATTTTTGATATGTCATGAAAGAGATGATAAGGAACAACTTCTATGAAGAAAGTATGTTGATCTGAACAAGAGAAAATGGAGTTTCAAAGCACACAACAAGTCTGACAGGTTGACAGAAAAATGATGAACAGTCACTCATCATACCTGAATTTCTGGATTTGTACTGCTCCGATAGGTCTCAAATTTGGATATGTTGTAGCTGACAAGGTGCGGAACAACATCGATGAAGAAAGTATGTTGATCTGAACAAGAGAAAATGGAGTTTCGGAGCTCACAACAAGTCTAACGGGTTAACAGAAAATTGATGAACAGTTACTCATCATACCTGAATTTCTGAAGTTGTACTACTCCGATGGATCTCAAATTTGGATATGTTGTAGTTCACAAGATAAGGAACAACTTTTATGAAGACGACTTTGCAATCTGAGCCATAGAGAATGGTGTTATCTTGCATCCACTCAGGCTGATTAGTGGAAACGAAAAGCAATTCCACCAAAGAAAAGATGAAAAAGAGAGAAAAGCTACTAATTGCACTTGATCTTGTCTAGTCAATAGCATGCAGCATCAAACACACAAAAGTTGGAAATATTTTTAGATAAGGCATATACGAATGTGTGACATCGAAACAAGGATTCGTTACTCTGACAAATTAGTAAAAAGCGAGACACCTCATTCGGCAACTCTCTTCGCCTGAAGACTTGGGGGACTCCCACCATATGCTACTGCACCTTGATACTCGGCAGTCTCACAACCACTCAGTGACTTGGATTTTTCAAGTCTCCAACCGAGAAGTTTTCCTCACTCGGGAAATTAAGGGAACACTACCTCAAACTACATGCTTCACTCACAAAGCTTTAACAATACAAGTTTCAACAAAAGAAAAAATTCAAAGAACTTTCTGAAGAAGGCTTTGGTGTATTTAACACAATATGTTGAAATGAAGCAAAGCTTATTTATTAATATTTTCGATAAAGCCACAAATATGTACATATACATGAGTCAAAATAAAACAAACAAAAGGGAAGCCTTCACAAAGGTTGCTTAGGGGAAAGTCTCAGCAGTCGGTAGAGCCCAGAAAGAGAAAGCACCGGAGGGTGGTTATCCGGAGCCTCAGTACTTGACAAAACCCCAGAAGGAGAAGGCATTGGAGGTTCATCATTTGAAGCTTCATTACCAGGTACAGCCCCAGAAGACGAAGGCAATAAATGCCTTTGGAACAAACCCACAAACCGCTGATGATCAAGTAAAACCTTACCATCAGATTCCTTCATCTGGTCAAGCTTCCTCTTCATGTTTGTAGCATAGTCATGGGCGAGCCGGTGCAACTGTTTATTCTCATGCTTGAGCCCTCTAATCTCCTGTTTGAGACTCATCACTTCAGCAGCCAATGATTCAACTTGGCGGGTTCTAGCAAATAGGCGTTGGGCCATATTAGACACAGAACCTGCACACTGAACACTAAGAGCCAGAGAGTCCTTAACAGCCAACTCATCAGACCGTTTGGAAAGTAGTCTGTTATCTTTGGGAGTGAGAAGGTTCCTGGCCACCACCGCAGCGGTCATATCATTCTTCATCACAGAATCCCCAACGGTAAGAGGACCAGTAGGGGATATGAAGGATGGCCGCCATATGTTGTCTGGAGAAGGCGTGGCTGTCTTTTCTCCAAGGTTCAAGTCAAAACGACGGTCGGAGGGGGCCAGACATTTTCAAAGGTGTTGAAGAGGGAAGAGGTCAGACAAATCAAGATCTTAGAAGTGTAAGAAGGGAGCTTCTACTGGTGGAGATTTAAGTGTGCTGTGGAACTTAATGTCAGCCTCTATAAAAATTTGCACTCGACGGAGCTTTAGAAATCGAAAAGGTGTTTGCTTTCTCAAAAGCTAGGCTGCTCAAAGACCACGAGGGCCGATCTCAAAAATTGAAGAAGCACCTGCTTTTTCAGCCTCGTCAGCACCTGTCACATGCACACTCAGCTTTGCGGAAATTACGGGCAATCTGTCGAAGATTTCTGGTGAAGTAGAAAGCACGTGAATCTTACTGTTCAATCACCACTCTCCACATGCACCATCAACTCCTCGGGTACCACATATAACTTTGTCAAATATCTCTGACAAAGTTTAGGCACGAGAATTTCGAAGTTCCAGCTACCCTACTATTACCCACAAGGGTAAAGGAACAGCACCACTGCTTGACAACTGGAAAGTCCCTATGTGTGTCAACCTCCTTGTTTTGCGCAGTGTTCTAAAAAACGGCCTAGGCGGCCGCCTAGGCGCTGGGCGCCTAGCAACCGAGGCGTTTTTGGGCAAATCGGGAGGAAAAATCGGGTTGGGCCTAGGCGGGCTAGGCGGTGCCTAGGCGGTCTAGGCGGGCTGGGCGGCTAGGCGGGTTAGGCGGGCTAGGCGGTCCTAGGCGGCCCTAGGCGGTCCTAGGCGGTCCTAGGAGGTTTTTTTTTATTTTTTATTTTTTATTAATTGCGTGCTTTTTTCTTTTTTGGTTTCATGGTGGTATACTTATGGAAATGGTGTATCTAATTTGCAAATGATGGATTTACTACAAGTTCATCCAATACTTATGGAAATAGTGTACCTAATTTGCATTTTATCATTATTTTATTATCCATACAAGTATAGTTTTTTTTAGGTGTCAATATGCACTTATTTACAAGATATACAAGAAATTTACCTAAATCCGCCTAGGCCGCCTAGGCGCCCGCCTAGACGCCGCCTAGCCGCCTAGGCGCTAGGCGCTAGCCGGCCGCCCGACTAGCGCCTAGCGTTTTTTAGAACCTTGGTTTGCGGCAAGACAGGTTGGCAAGAACGTCCAACTTTTACTCACATTCGAGCAAAGACTCCCAACATAATTACTTTCTCAAAAACCGAAATAGCACCACTTTCCGAATCTCGAGAGTCAGATCTTCGACGGGATTGCTTGTTCGAAAACCGAAGAGGCACAACTCTCAGAACTTCGAGAGCTAGATTTCCTTAGATAAAACTTGTCTGTAATCTTCACACGTAACATCAGCTTTCCAGATACCACATACCACTTTTTCAAAGTGCTCTGACAAAGTTAAAACACGTGAAGCTGGCAGCTCCCACTACATTGATGTGACCAAGAAGGGTAAAGGAATAGCATTACTACTTGTTATTGGGAAATCCCTATATACATCGACCTCCCTCCTCAACGGACAGGCAAACCTACAAAAATGCTCAACCTTTTCTCGCATTCGAGAATGCACCCTCAACATAACCTCTCGAAATACTCAGCTTTATTTCCCCCCTGATAATACCTCAGCAAATAAGCCACACCAAGAACAAGAGTATCTCATATCATCAGGGTCGAAAGCAAGAGTATCCCATATCATGCTTTTCTCCCTATCTTTGTCTTTGTCCTTGTCCACACCTGCAGGACAAGGAGAAAGAGAGCAGTCAGTTCGGAACCTGAAATCAAACCTCCAATTCTGGAACTGACTGCCT